CAATACGATAAAAAGCGGTCCCTAGCTTCCAGATTACTCCTACTTTTACCCCACGACCTTGAGACGTGTTCCAGTCCGTGGATATGCAGATTTCGAACATAGTCAATATCGGCCCAGTGGATATACAAAATGATATTAAAACCCGACAAGGTGGATAATAAGGACTACTATAACTAATTGGAGGTATTTTTGATGTCATATATTGTGTTTTGTCAGCAATTTAACGCGTGTGCATTTTAGGCAAAATCTCTCTGCCTCCTGGCTTTCCCTATAAATATGCTGAGACACGGAGGAGTTGGAAAATGTACATAAATGACGCTCTTCTTTCTCCTCATTATATCCACTAATTTACAGCGCTAGACCTCACGCCACAGTGCAATTTTAGACTGTTCATGGAAGACTTTCTCTACAACGTTCAATTTGAGGATTAGGGGTCAATTCTTCGATCGGGACATTCATGGAGCTAGTCTCAAAGTGATTTCGAACTCTCGGGTCAGCCAGCTACCTTCCAGAACGTTTTACAATGGTTGACATGTTTTTCGTACCAGCCCAGAAATGTCCCTTCCGATAGTCGCTAGTAATACCTATTGATGCAAGCTTAATTTGGGAGGACTCCCGGCATCTGAAATTAGCCAGCCCAAACTCTGAACTTGAATGCTGCATGTATTAGTGCGATTTTATTACGACGATTTTTGAGACATTGGAGAGGACCAGGTAGAAACGAAAGGACGAGGGGACAATTTTAAATGGATATAATTATGCAACTATCGTCAATAAATACACGGATATACTTCACATCACACCATCTTGTCTTGTCGCAAATCTGACAGACATTTCATTCCTAGACTAAACCTACAAGTAGTGTCATTATTAGTGCAGAATTTGAACTCAGTCCAGTGTCGTCAAAACTCCGTCTGTGAGGACTCTGAAACCAAATATTGTCATATAGAAACCTCTGGAAATCCCCAGAGACAATTTCTATATCTCTACCATATCTCATTGGCATTCTCAATGGTCCTCTATACAGTCCCATTACTTGAACTTTACTTGGGTGACCAGCTAGTACCCTACTAACAACTGCACTAACAATTAAACTTCCACTAAATGCTAACTAGCATTACTGCACCCAGAATGTGGAGAATAGACCCAGTCTAAAATGCACAATATCCATGGGAGAAAAGTCAGAAGTCTGTCAAAACGTGTCCAACAACGCACAGAATAGCCCAGTAATGCTTACTAAGCCTGTTCATCCGTTCACGTGATTTCGTTCAACTGTTTTTCAGAAAAAAAAATTCGGCTTCTCTTGAATTCATAATTATCTTCAATTGTCCGCTCCTCTCTACCCCACATCTTAGGCGCGCTATTTACGGACGTATTAGTCAGCGTTTTAGTCGGGATTTAGTACCAATGGACTACTTGGAAATTAGAAAACGTCTTAAATAGTTAGTAGAATTATTTGAAGAATACCATTGTTGACAGTATTGGCAGCTCAAGTCTGCGCGTTTAATGAGCATTTTTTTGGTCATTTTAGCGTCATTTCTCGAATTTATACATAATTATACCATATATTCTAGTCACAGCCACCAAGTCGTGGTAGGCCACCACACCACTCATGCAATGACCTCATTCTTCATGTTTCCGGTTACGCCGATGATGTCATGGACACCACCTTGGCCATGTCATGGGCACCACGTCGGTCATGTCGGTACCATGCCGCAGTTTACGTTCCAAGGGGTGCATGGCACATGTGCAGGTGGATGAGGTCAGGAGGTTATTTTTAGATCGAGAAGTTTGACTACAAAAATCGGAACCTTGGAAAAGCTCTAGGAGAGGTTTTTGAGTGGCTAAAAATGTAGAGCTAGCATATTCGTAATGTTTCGATTTGATTCCACCTTTCAGAACTCCGATCCGGTGAGTACTGAGACAGTTGCACCACTTAATTAACTCGCTCGGAAACGGTTTTACCCCTACTTTACCCCATGCACCAGTTGACCCTCGTTTGAGAATAGATTGGGTTATTTCCGGGGGTCTAAAACGACTGTACTCAATATTTGTCTGTATTTGGAAGCGTTTGTGCAATTTATGGACGATGACGTTGCAGACAAGAAGTAGTCCGTCAAAGATGGAGCATAGGGGATATGTTGAGTTTGAGTCTGGGTTTACGCTTGTTCCGGCTTCATTAATCTCATACTTACATCCTCAATCTTTACCGGAAAATACTCGTCCAGTACGAGCCTCCTCAAATACATATGTCAAAATCCATTAATAGTTGACTTTTAATTAGACTTTTCGACTCATGCCAACTATAATCGCCATGCTCTTAACTAAACACCTAACCCAACCAAACACTATATCTGGTCCAAAAATACGTCAATCAAAACACAAAAAACACAGCCAACTTCTTTGCATCTCAACTAACCCCCACGTGCATCACAAAAGCCGCTGTCAAAAATCGGTTACTTCCTCGCTTAAATGACGTCATTCGCTTCCTCGAAACCTAAAAATATTTCTCCAACATGAAACCATAAATTACGTCATCATACATCGTTCTTCTATATCCACCGTAGTAGTCACCTGGCACGGCTGGAAAATCCCCATCATTCTACTGACAGTTGTTTGCCCCCATTGTCAACTTCTTGGCATTTTATCTCATTTATTCACTGTTTTATTGCCATATGACGTCATCTCAAAAACAAAATGACGATTTTTGCACCATCCAGGAATCGTAGAAACCAACAGAAATATCCATTGGATTCTCCGTCATCTCCTCTACAAATATATTTTACTCACATTTCTCTAATGTTCCCACAAGACTCACAGATAAGACTCACGGCCCTAAATCCCTACACAACAAACAAACATCAACTTGGGTCCTAACCCCAGCCTAGGGCGTCACGTGATCCCTCCGAAATGTCTCATTCTCGCGTTCCAAACACCAAACACCGCTAGTCTCTTCTTTGTAGGGATTTTTTAGCACTATCTTAAATTTTGGCGGAACTTTTCGGAGATGCCATACTGCTTGAGACGAAACGGGGCAATAGACATGGTTGTGGTGTCAATGGAATTGCTGGAGTCACGTGATTCCCGCAACATTCTCAGATTCTCGCCAGCAAGTATATATGTCCGGATAGTTCCAATTCAATTTTACGTAAACACAGGCACCATTTCCCCACAATCTTATTGCAAGGAGGGGGAGACATGGTGGGTGAGGTGGGCACCACGAGCGAATGTGGTGGGGTGTAATGGGGACGACATGATCGATGTAGTGGGGACAAGGACTCTGTAATGGGGAAAACAAGGACTATGTGGTGGTGGCTACAAGGAGCTAGTGGTTGCCTTTTTGAGGTGCAAACGAGAGGTTATGATTTCATATACGACACAAGTCTGGTTGACAATGGATAACAGGTAACCAGTGAAAAGCACATGTTAAGAGTGTATAAAACAAGTTATGAGCAAATTAAGGGTATCTAAAAGACCGCGACGATGTGTTATCTGCTTTAGTTCCTTATCACTCCACTCTTTATGGTACGTAGTCATGGGGAGGTCTAATAATTGGGCTATAGCTATATAATGGCGAAAATTAGCCTAGGAAATAGAGAGTTGCACAACTTTTTAATACAGTCCGAAAATCAAGTCCATCGACACATTTGTTGTAAAAGAAGATCATTCCGAGTTCGTTTCTTCTCTCAGTTTTCGGATCAGATTAATATTGCTTTCTCTACGTCATAATATCTCCCCCTCTGTCTCCTCCATCTATGTGCAGGCTGATGCATTTTTGATGCATATGTAGCATACATTGCAGATATCGCCGCATTCGACACCAATGCAGAGACCATGCGTTCCAGGCTGGCATCAGATGGTTGCTTCAGTGTTGCTACCTTGACGTACATTACAGGTGTAATGTCGTCACCACAGAGGGTATATGTCGTCCCGCAATATGGTCAATGTTGGTACCCACAGACGGAATGTCGTCCCACAACAGAGCACATGTGTGCCACCACCACACTTGAAGGCGTTACTACGGATCCAATGTAGTGACAACAGAATCATTGTCTTCCCAATACGGTGCTGGTGTCTTACCACAGATCCACTGTCATTACACAAAGAGTATCGCTTGAGTACCATTTTAGTAGTGGGTAGTTCACATGGTGCATACTCTAGTTAAATCTTTAGACCACATTAATTTGGGCTCATCTCGGGGACGATAATATGGCCGAGAAATTTGGGGGAAATTCTCCATTTTAATTAATTTTATCACAGTGCGGTTTTTATTTTCCCATATTTTTCGGGATTTTATTCGGTCGCCAAATGCCAACTTCAGCCCACTCTCACAAACAATTAAAAAATTAGAAGTCGACAAATGTCCATGTAAACAAGATGCAATCCAGATGGCAATAGTTGGAGGAAACACAGGAGATATTTATATTAGTATACTTCTCTGACATGGGAGATTCTATTGGAGCAATCCATGTTTTTGTATCATTCGTATCCGTGAAACTAGCGTGATTATTGTGTCTCGTGTATATTCCCAGAACGACAAAAATTATCTTATAAATTAAAAATGCGACTAGAAGAGGGATCGAGTTGGAACTAGAGAGCATTGAGGGAATCAGCATGCCAAGATGATCTGGAATCAGATATCTTCAGACCCTCAACTGAAATGTCTTTCTTGTCGAGTCAAGAGTTCATTCAACAATAAGTACTATACAACTACAGACCTTCCACCAACTACAAACAACTACTAACCACTCCTACTCTTCCTACATGTACAGGTACTACACACACGCTCTCATATCCAAACTCCATCCCATTACTACTAAATGCAAATAAATATAGTGTCTCCACTAGACTCAAAGAGTCGTCCTAGTCACTGGGATCCAATGACTCCTAGCTGCTTCCTTGCAGAGCTGTTGACTGCTCCTTGCTCTGTTGAATCACTGCTAGATCTGGATCCTAAATCAGTGACTCTTCCTCGTTCTTCATCGCTCCTCTTTGAGCGGTCAATTCACCAACTCGCCCATCAACTGAGCGACGTTGTAATCCAAATCCTTCAAAATTCTCAGCTCCAAATCAACCATCTCCTTAACGGTAGGAAACACATAGCTAGGATCCAAAACCGACTGGAGCTCGCAGTTGAGACAGTCCACAAACAACTTGGGGCTGTAAAACTCGTCCTCGGCAAACTTCATCGCAACGGACAAGGTGGCAATCACCACCAACTCGGGATGGATCGCTGCATCCATGGGAATCGACCTGATCCAGTGGCGGTAAAAGTCCCGCGACAAAGAGTCGAGAATCGTGCTGCTTAGTAGCCGGCACGTGACCGGGAGACGCAGCACCGTCAGCAGCCGAGTCAACATCGACACCGAAATGGGCGGCAGGGACGTGGGCAGCGAAGAAATGAGATCGCGCGCAGTCAGCTCCGTCGCCTGGAGATCACGTGAGGAGTCACGTGCGCCGGAGTCGCCGTCTGCAGCCGCCTTGCTATCGTAGGTGTAGTTACACTCCGACTCGGGAGTCAGAATGAATGTGGACTCTGGTGAAAAGTCCAGCATGGCCTTCTTGGTCACGTGGCAGTCCATCTCTTCGAAGAAGGACCGCGTCGACGTCTGTGTCACTTCCACCGAGCACGAGTCAGGGGTGGGCAGGTTCGAAATGTTAGACATGTTGTTCATCTTGGGGGAGGGGGGGATAATGTTGTGCGATGACAAAAGTAATGTTGGAAATTACGCTGGTAATGTGGTGGATGATTGGGGGGGTTACACTGGCAATGTGGGGAGTCACAAGAGTTGTGTCGCGACGTGGGGGTGTAAAAGCGAATGTGATGATATCGTCAAACGTTGGTCGATGCCGTGTGCTGTAGCGAATGTAAACAATGTGCAACTGTCGTTGTGGTCACACCGTCAATGTCGTGGGAATTACACGGGCTGTGTCGCGGTGACAAGAGCTATGTCGTTGGTGTAGTCGAGGTGACAAGAGTGAAGTTGTGTGCGATTGGGGAGGTGGCATGTGGAGGTCTGGCGAGATATATATAACTCTAGCAGGTGGGAGAGAGGCTGTGGTGGGATAGAGCTAGAACGAGCCACAATGAAGGTTTTCGAGATCTGAAAAGACAGAAATACCCACATGTTTACGCTGAATGCATTGCTTGTCCCTAAAGTTTAATTGGAGCACTTCTTGCCCTCCATTTGTGACGACCGCCTTACAAGCAACTTTTTGGCTTCCAATTCTTTTTGATGTTAATCCCAGAACTTTATTTATCGGAGGTTATTGGAACTTTATTTTATGATTTGCCAGAACTCAAATCGACGAAGTGTGAAAACACAAAATCAAAAAATCAAAAAATCATAACTGGGAAAATGAAAATCTCGAAAACGAAAAATGGCAAGAAGAGTACCACAACCGGCGACAGAGGAGGGCAAGTCACGTGGTGAATGGGTGAGACTAAAAAGGCGGCATCAACTAACACAGTGGCAGTGGAGGTCTGGGGGAGGCCATTTGTCACAGTCAAGAGAGGAGATACAACAGAACCGATAAAAATTGAGGGATTTCAACAAAATTGATTCATAAGTATGGGGTTGCAGCGCAGTTAATAATCTCACGTTGTGGCGACAATGATTTTACGTCGATTGTTATCCATCACGTAATTCCAACATTACTGTAGCACTTTTTAGAAACGACCTCCAATAGACATTACGTAATCCGAAGTATACTACAGCTTTAGAGCGCTAGATACAATTTTTCGGGAGATTCTTCAATATTGGAATAATCATCAGGATCACTTGAACACGTGACGTATCTTCATTTATTGATAACCTATCTCTATCAAAATTTGTGGATACTTATGACTACCTCCCCCAAATCCGCTCCCCACTCTGTAACTTGACGAATATTAGTCCTGGAGAAATGAAAGTCGGCTAATTTTACTCATTAACTCAATATATGTCATGTGACTTCGCATATTCCCTCTCCCATACCTCAATCGCAGTCGCTTAGTCATCCATTAACGTTTGCGAGCAAGTAGCAATCTAGTGCCAAGTTTTAGCGACGGATACGACCGAAATGAAATGCGCAAATCGGACAAAGAGAACAGGTTAAGAGTGTTCCGAAGGATCACATGAGTCGTATTGAGGTTTTAGTTTCCACATGTGACTCTTGGAGTTGGTGTTGTTTATGAGTTTCATCATTCATAACCTGTTCAATCTCCCAATAATAATACATTGATAGTTAAATTTAGTTAGATTGAATCTAAACTTATAGTTGGCATTCTCAACAATAACCAATTGGTCCTTCTTTTTAATCACACTTTACTTACCTCCTCCACCTTAAGTCAACTATAATAAAGCTCAACCTGGAAAACCAATGAAATCGAGAAATGCCGACACAAAATGTATCACGTGACACCCAAGGAATTCCTAACGCCCTCAACAACGCGCCAATTGCTTACATACTCATAATTGCTCACAAATCGCCGTTTTTCTCTCACATCTATGCATGCAGAAAAATCAGGTCATCATTTTGGGAGCAAAAACGCGGACTTGACACGAAACAAAATACATGCATCGGAATTTGGTGGTCACGTAAGCATACCTCTATCCCCAGAGTTCTCTTCAAGTTGTCTGCGTCTTCTTGTATGGTGTTTTGTGCACACTGTATGTCAGCAACTCAGGGTTAGGGTTCGTATGGGTTGTGATAGTGGTACAGTTCAGGGTTGCAATGTGGGTGTTGGCAGGGTTAGGGGGGGTCCAGATTCGAAATTATTTTTAGGCTTTTGATCAGGGTCTAGGCACGGCGTATAGTCGGCGTTTGTGACGTCATGGAGATGAGGCGGGGAAAGGACGTGACATTGGTAATGTGGTTTTCGCGACTCAGACTATATGATAGACACGACGTGGGGCGTGTATTGGGGTGACATGGGTGGTGTAGAGGGTGCGACCAGGGCTGTGACGTTAGAGAAGACAGAGTTGATTTGCGTGTCCACAAAGTTTATTTGGAGTGGCTGAGGTTTAATAGCCGGATTCAGGATTGTGTGGGGGCAAATCAAGAGAGGAGCAAATGGTCAAGGCGGCAAGGGGAGGAGTTTTTGCAGGCGGTTTTAGGGTAAGGGTGAGTGAGGGAAAGGGCTGGTATGTCTGTATTTTGATTTTACTTGGAGGATTGAGCGATTGAAGGGTTGTCAAAAGGGTTTATACTTGTTGAGGTTAATTGGGTGTGAGGACTTATGGTTGATAGTTTAGTTGGTTGTTGGAGATTTGAGCTTTAAAGTTGAGAACAGTAGTTGAAGGTCAAGTAAAATGATAGGGGTAAGAACAGTGGTTTCTACAGCTTTTAGGGAGGTTTTGGAGGTTCAAACTGACTTTAATCCGGGTATATTTACCACGAAGAACTCGGTTATCTATTTTTTTCAACAATGCCATCTATCCTTATTAATCTAGAGCGTTTGGTTAATTCTCAAAAAAAAAAAAAAAAAAAAAAACATCAACTCACCCAGAATGTCCAAATCTGCCGGATTTTTTTCCGGAAGGTATTGTTATACTCTGCAGCACATTTTATACCTTTTAAAACGTCTCATTTTATCGTCACATCTCCGCCCAAAACCCAATGTCCAACAAACTCCAATTATCCCTGAACCCCCTTACTTAGGAACCTCCGAAGCCCGCCAAAGGTAGGATATAAGTGGTCAGGACGATAGATGGACCGTGAGGTTGGCGCGAGATGATGAAGGTGATTATGTAAGATCCAGATGAAGGGTGGTTATGTAAGATCCAGAGGAAGGGTAGTTATGCAAACTCCTATACCAGATTATGTAAGCTTCAGTACTGGATTATGTATTACTCCAGTAATGGATACAGCTGATTACCCATTCAGGAATCGCACTTCTTCCTGGTCAGCCAGCCACTCACGTGATGCACATCCATCTGACCAACCCCGGTTCTCATTTCCATCTCTTTTAACAGTGTAAACTGCAACTCCTCTTTCCTCAGCGATACCCCCCTGGTCTACATTTAGTGCCAACTATATTGCCAACTAGCTCAAGTAAATGATCACCGTTAAATAGACGAGATATTTCAATAGTTGCCCAAAATAACGAAAAGTGGGTGGATTTGAGCGGGGAAAGAGGAAATCAAAATATCAAGCCCGATATATGCCCGCAGGAACTTATCAACATGTCTTGTTAATCTCCTTCTGTTCATAAATCGCGTCTAAAATATTTTTCAGCCCAAAATACCTCACGGAATATGCGACAATTAATTGTGCACCGTCAGAACCCCCAATCCAACCCCACCAAGCCTCCATACACCTTTCGAAGCTCGTCGTATATTCCTCAATGTCTCAAACCCACGTGGTGGTGACACGTTTTTAGTGTTTGATTAGACCAAGTGTAGAGGCGGCCAGAGGACATATAACGAAATCCCGAAAGGTGCATTTTGTAGGTCACACTATGACAACCCCGACAGCGTTTTCCGGTTTCCAAAAAGTCCAAAAATGCGTCTTTTGGAGCACTTTTTGAGAAAACTCTGAAAGGGAACGTGATTGACGTTGTTGCTAGAGATATCGTATATTAGTGAGTACGAATGGAACGCCAAGACTCAGGAGAACAATGCTGTATTGTTTACGAGCGGCTGAGATGCGTCATTGCCGATATTACAGGGGACACCTGTTGGGGTTCCAGTGATAGCTGAGATTAGTGATATATATCATTGGAGAGCATTCGGTCTGTTTGTTGCGTTGATGAGCTATTAATCGTCCCTTGTCATACAACAATAGCGCTAAAATCGCCGTTATCAGTATTTCCTTCAACTATCTTTAGGTAGGGTATTACTTGGGGTGTTGCAAGATTACAGATATTACAATAAAAAAATTAAGTAAGTAAAATATAAATGTAAATATAGATATAGATATAGATATATAAAAATATGAATAAATAAATAAAATAAAATAAAATAAAATAAAATAAAATAAAGACCTTGACAAAAATCTCCACAAAAATCTCCACAAAAATCACCCAAATTCCGCAAAAACTCTTCTCCAAATATACTGCTCGTTTTTGTTTAGATCGCCCCTCCGGATAATGCCGACCCCGTGACCTTGGACCTTGGTGGAAATTTACCATGTTTAAAATAAGGTTACGGTATGTACAGCCACAACACAACAATGGGTTTGTGTACGAAGAAAAAGAAAAGACAATTTGTCACAAAAAAAGGACATTCGAGGTATCCAAGGGGGTAGATAGATGCATATCGCTGTCCCTGATGGTGAGAGGATCACAAATCTGTTTTCATTTTTTTAAGCGGAGAAATATTTACGCACCTGGAAAGACATTGTCATATGCACAACCCATTCTTTGTGATGGGCATAACACGACCCTTTTGATGGGCACAAGACAGGGTATGTGATCACCACACGGGCCCTGTGGTCACCACTGCCGCCATGTCGAGGGCACCACCTTGTCCTTGTGGTCCCCACACTCGCTGTGTAAGTCTCTCCTGAAGAAAAGAAAGAAAAAAAGTAAACATACCATAGTAATGCTGACAGTGCGTTTGGTGAAAATAGTTTAAAGATACTTGCTTTTTTGACGTCCTGCTGCCACTTGGGATAGGTGCAAGGATGTATGTGTGTATCGAGGGCTGGATTTTTGTCCAATCGACTCGAGAGTTACTCCAATCTGTTGCCA